GTAGCATCATCATCAGTAGCATCATCATCAGAAGCATCATCATCAGAAGCATCATCATCAGCATCATCATCAGCAGCATCATCATCAGTAGCATCATCATCAGCAGCATCATCAGTAGCATCATCATCAGTAGCATCATCATCAGTAGCATCATCATCAGTAGCATCATCAGTAGCAGCATCATCAGTAGCATCATCATGATCAGTAGCATCATCATCAGAAGCATCATCGTCATCAGTAGCATCATCAATATCATCATCAGTAGAAGCATCATCTCTCTGTGTGTCTCTCACTGTCTCTCTCTGTCTCTCTGTGTGTCTCTCTCTGTGTCTCTCTCTGTGTCTCTGTCTCTCTCTGTCTCTGTGTGTCTCTCTCTGTCTCTCTCTCTGTGTCTCTCTCTCTGTCTGTGTCTCTCTCTGTGTCTCTGTCTCTCTCTGTGTATCTCTGTGTCTCTCTCTGTCTCTCTCTCCATGTCTCAGTGTGTCTGTGTGTGTCTGTGTGTGTCTCTGTGTCTGTGTGTCTCTCTGTCTCTCTCCATGTCTCAATGTGTCTGTGTGTCTCTGTGTCTGTGTCTCTCTGTGTCTCTCTCTGTGTCTCTCTGTCTCTCTGTCTCTCTCTGTGTCTCTGTCTCTCTCTGTATCTCTGTGTGTCTCTCTCTGTGTCTCTCTCTGTGTCTCTCTCTGTGTCTCTCTGTGTGTCTCTCTGTGTGTCTCTCTCTCTCTGTCTCTGTGTCTCTCTGTCTCTGTGTCTCTGTGTCTCTCTCTCTGTGTATCTCTGTGTCTCTCTCTGTCTCTCTCTCCATGTCTCAGTGTGTCTGTGTGTCTCTGTGTCTGTGTCTCTCTCTGTGTCTCTCTCTGTCTCTCTCTCTCCATGTCTCAGTGTGTCTGTGTGTGTCTGTGTGTGTCTCTGTGTCTCTGTGTCTGTGTGTCTGTGTGTGTCTCTGTGTCTGTGTGTATGTATGTGTGTGTCAGTGTGTGTCTGTGTGTCTCTCTGTGTGTGTCTCTGTGTGTCTCTGTGTGTGTAGTATCTGTGTCTCTCAGTGTGTCTCTGTGTGTGTCTGTGTCTCTGTGTGTCTCTGTGTCTCTGTGTGTGTGTCTGTGTGTCTGTGTGTCACAGTGTGTCTCTGTGTGTGTCTCAGTGTGTCTGTGTGTCTCTGTGTTTCTCAGTGTGTCTCTGTCTCTGTGTGTCTCTGTGTGTCTCTGTGTCTCTGTGTGTGTGTCTGTGTGTCACAGTGTGTCTCTGTGTGTGTCTCAGTGTGTCTGTGTGTCTCTGTGTGTCTCAGTGTGTCTCTGTGTGTCTCTGTGTGTCTGTGTGTCTCTGTGTGTCTCTGTGTGTCTGTGTGTCTCTGTGTATTTGTGTGTCTCTGTGTGTGTCTCTCTCTGTGTGTCTCTGTAGTACCGGTGGACTCCACGTCTCTCTCCCCGCCGGCTCTCCCGCTGGCTGTGTGGGAGACTCACACCCGAGGAGTGGCATCACGACTCATGGCTAAGATGGGATACGTACCAGGGACAGGTGAGACACACAGAGAGACACGGGGAGAGAGACACGGGGAGACACGGAGAGAGACACGGAGAGAGAGAGAGACACGGGGAGTGGCATCACGACTCATGGCTAAGATGGGATACGTACCAGGGACAGGTGAGACACGGAGAGACACGGGGAGACACGGAGAGACACGGGGAGAGAGACACGGGGAGAGACACACGGAGAGAGACACACGGAGAGAGAGAGACACGGGGAGTGGCATCACGACTCATGGCTAAGATGGGATACGTACCAGGGACAGGTGAGACACACAGAGAGAGACACGGGGAGAGAGACACACGGAGAGAGATACACGGGGAGTGAGACACGGGGAGAGACACACGGAGAGAGAGACACGGGGAGACACGGGGAGTGGCATCACGACTCATGGCTAAGATGGGATACGTACCAGGGACAGGTGAGACACAGAGAGAGAGACACGGGGAGAGAGACACGGGGAGAGAGAGACACACGGGGAGAGACACGGGGAGAGAGACACGGGGAGAGAGAGACACGGAGAGAGAGAGAGACACGGGGAGTGGCATCACGACTCATGGCTAAGATGGGATACGTACCAGGGACAGGTGAGACACAGAGAGAGACACGGAGAGAGAGACACACGGGAGAGACACACGGGAGAGACACGGGGAGAGAGACACGGGGAGTGGCATCACGACTCATGGCTAAGATGGGATACGTACCAGGGACAGGTGAGACACACAGAGACACGGGGAGAGAGACACGGGGAGAGAGAGAGACACGGAGAGAGAGAGACACGGGGAGAGAGAGACACAGGGAGTGGCATCACGACTCATGGCTAAGATGGGATACGTACCAGGGACAGGTGACACAGAGAGACACGGGGAGACACGGGGAGAGAGACACGGAGAGACGGGGAGAGAGACACGGGGAGAGACACACGGAGAGAGAGACACGGAGAGAGAGACACGGGGAGACACGGGGAGTGGCATCACGACTCATGGCTAAGATGGGATACGTACCAGGGACAGGTGAGACACACAGAGACACAGGGAGAGAGAGAGACACGGGGAGAGAGACACGGGGAGAGAGACACGGGGAGTGGCATCACGACTCATGGCTAAGATGGGATACGTACCAGGGACAGGTGAGACACACAGAGACACAGGGAGAGAGAGAGACACGGGGAGAGAGACACGGGGAGAGAGACACGGGGAGAGAGAGACACGGGGAGTGGCATCACGACTCATGGCTAAGATGGGATACGTACCAGGGACAGGTGAGACACAGAGAGAGAGACACGGGGAGAGAGACACGGGGAGAGAGAGACACACGGGGAGAGACACGGGGAGAGAGACACGGGGAGAGAGAGACACGGAGAGAGAGAGAGACACGGGGAGTGGCATCACGACTCATGGCTAAGATGGGATACGTACCAGGGACAGGTGAGACACAGAGAGAGACACGGAGAGAGAGACACACGGGAGAGACACACGGGGAGAGACACGGGGAGAGAGACACGGGGAGTGGCATCACGACTCATGGCTAAGATGGGATACGTACCAGGGACAGGTGAGACACACAGAGACACGGGGAGAGAGACACGGGGAGAGAGAGAGACACGGAGAGAGAGAGACACGGGGAGAGAGAGACACAGGGAGTGGCATCACGACTCATGGCTAAGATGGGATACGTACCAGGGACAGGTGAGACACAGAGAGACACGGGGAGAGAGACACGGAGAGAGAGACACGGGGAGTGAGACACGGGGAGAGACACACGGAGAGAGAGACACGGGGAGACACGGGGAGTGGCATCACGACTCATGGCTAAGATGGGATACGTACCAGGGACAGGTGACACAGAGAGACACGGGGAGACACGGGGAGAGAGACACGGAGAGACGGGGAGAGAGACACGGGGAGAGACACACGGAGAGAGAGACACGGAGAGAGAGAGACACGGGGAGTGGCATCACGACTCATGGCTAAGATGGGATACGTACCAGGGACAGGTGAGACACACAGAGACACAGGGAGAGAGAGAGACACGGGGAGAGAGACACGGGGAGAGAGACACGGGGAGAGAGAGACACGGGGAGTGGCATCACGACTCATGGCTAAGATGGGATACGTACCAGGGACAGGTGAGACACAGAGAGAGACACGGGGAGACACGGAGAGAGAGAGAGAGACACAGAGACACGGGGAGACACAGGGAGAGAGAGAGACACGGGGAGAGAGAGACACGGGGAGTGGCATCACCACTCATGGCTAAGATGGGATACGTACCAGGGACAGGTGAGACACAGAGAGAGACACGGAGAGAGAGAGACACGGAGAGAGAGACACGGGGAGAGAGACACGGGGAGAGAGACACGGGGAGAGAGAGAGACACGGGGAGAGAGAGAGACACGGAGAGAGAGAGACACGGAGAGAGAGACACGGAGAGAGAGACACGGAGAGAGAGACACGGAGAGAGAGACATGGGGAGAGAGACACGGGGAGTGGCATCACGACTCATGGCTAAGATGGGATACGTACCAGGGACAGGTGAGACACACAGAGAGACACGGGGAGTGAGACACGGGGAGAGAGACACGGGGAGATAGAGACACACGGGGAGAGAGACACGGGGAGAGAGACACGGGGAGACACGGGGAGTGGCATCACGACTCATGGCTAAGATGGGATACGTGTCAGAGACAGGTGAGACACGGAGAGAGAGACACGGGGGGAGAGAGACACGGGGAGAGAGAGACACGGGGAGAGAGAGACACGGGGAGAGAGAGACACGGGGAGAGAGAGACACGGGGAGAGAGAGACACACGGGGAGAGAGACACGGGGAGAGGGAGAGACACGGAGAGAGAGAGACGGGGAGAGAGAGACACGGGGTGAGAGAGACACGGGGAGAGTCACGAGGGGAGAGAGAGACACGGAGAGACACAGAGAGAGACACGGGGAGACACACAGAGACACAGGGAGAGAGACACGGAGAGAGACACGGGGAGACACAGGGGAAGAGACATGGAGAGAGACATGGGGAGACACGGGGGGAGAGACACGGGGGGAGAGACACGGGGGGAGAGACACGGGGGGAGAGACACGGGGAGACACAGGGAGAGACACAGAGACACGGGGGGAGAGACACGGAGACGGAGAGAGACACGGGGAGAGACACAGAGAGAGACACAGGGGGAGAGACACAGGGGGAGACACGGAGACAAGGAAAGAGACACGGGGAGACACAGGGAGAGAGACACGGAGAGAGAGACACGGGGAGAGAGACACGGGGAGACACAGAGAGAGACACGGGGAGAGAGAGACAGAGACACAGGGAGACACAGGGGGAGAGAGACACGGAGACACGGGGGAGGAGACACAGGGGGGAGACACAGGGGGGAGACACAGAGACACGGAGACACACGGGGAGACACACGGGGAGACACCGAGAGACACAGAGACACGGAGACACAGGGAGACACAGAGACACACGGAGACACAGAGACACACAGAGAAACACAGAGACACGTAGACACAGAGATACAGACATACGGAGACACACAGAGACACACAGACACGTAGACACAGACACAGAGACACAGAGACAAACAGATACACACGGAGACACAGAGACACAGAGACACAGAGATACAGACATACGGAGACACACAGAGACACGCAGACACGTAGACAGAGACACAGAGACACAGAGACACAGAGACACGTAGACACAGAGACACGTAGACACAGAGACACATAGAGACACGGGGGGACACACAGAGACACATGGAGACACAGAGAGACACAGAGACACACAGAGACACACAGAGACACAGAGACAGAGACACACGGAGACACAGAGACACAGAGACACACAGAGACACAGACACACGTAGACACAGAGACACGTAGACACACAGGGGCACAGAGAGACACACGGAGACTCAGGGACACACGTAGACACAGAGACACACAGAGACACAGAGACAGAGACACACTGAGACACACGGAGACACAGAGACATAGAGACACACAGAGACAGAGACACAGAGACACACTGAGACACATGGAGACACGGAGACACAGAGACACGTAGACACAGAGACAAGAGACACACGTAGACACACAGACAGAGACACACGGAGACACGGAGACACAGACACACAGTTACACAGAGACACGTAGACACGGAGACACACAGAGACACGGACACACAGAGACACAGAGACACACGGAGACACAGAGACACACAGACACAGAGACACAGACACACAGAGACACGTAGACACGTAGACACAGAGACACACAGACACACGTAGACACACGTAGACACGTAGACACAGAGCCACACGGAGACACACAGAGATAGAGACACAGAGAGAGACAGAGAGAGACACAGAGAGACACACGGAGACACACAGAGACACGTAGACACAGAGACACACGTAGACACACAGAGACACACGTAGACACACGTAGACACACAGAGACACACAGACACACGTAGACACGTAGACACAGAGACACACGGAGACACAGAGACACACAGAGACACACAGAGACACACAGAGACACAGACACAGAGACACACAGAGACACACAGAGACACACGTAGACACAGAGACACAGAGAGAGACACACAGAGACACACAGAGACACACGTAGACACAGACACACGTAGACACACAGAGACACAGAGACACAGAGACACACAGAGACACACAGAGACACACAGAGACACACAGAGACAGAGACACACAGAGACACACAGAGACACACGTAGACACAGAGACACACAGAGACACACAGAGACAGAGACACACGTAGACACACAGAGACAGAGACACACGTAGACACACGTAGACACAGAGACACAGAGAGAGACACACAGAGACACACAGACACACAGAGACACAGAGACACACAGAGACACACAGAGACAGAGACACACAGAGACACACAGAGACACACAGAGACACACAGAGACACACAGAGACACAGAGACACACGTAGACACAGAGACACACAGAGACACACAGAGACACACAGAGACAGAGATGCACGTAGACACACAGAGACAGAGACACACGTAGACACACGTAGACACAGAGACACACACGTAGACACAGAGACAGAAACACACAGAGAAACAGAGACACACAGAGACACACAGAGACAGAGACACAGAGACACACAGAGACAGAGACACACAGAGACACAGAGACACACAGAGACAGAGACACACGTAGACACAGAGACACAGACACAGAGACACAGAGACACACGTAGACACGTAGACACAGAGACACACGTAGACACAGAGACACAGAGACACACGTAGACACGTAGACACAGAGACACACGTAGACACACAGAGACACACGTAGACACAGAGACAGAGACACACAGACACACAGAGACACACAGACACAGAGACACACAGACACACAGACACAGAGACACACAGAGACACACAGAGACAGAGACACACGTAGACACACGTAGACACACGTAGACACACAGAGACACACAGAGACACACAGAGACAGAGACACACAGAGACACACGTAGACACGTAGACACAGAGACACACGTAGACACACGTAGACACACGTAGACACAGAGACACACGTAGACACAGAGACACAGAGACACACGTAGACACAGAGACACAGAGACACACGTAGACACAGAGACACACACGTAGACACAGAGACAGAGACACACAGAGACACACGTAGACACAGAGACACACACGTAGACACAGAGACACAGAGACACACAGAGACACACAGAGACACACGTAGACACACGTAGACACACGTAGACACAGACACAGAGACACACAGACACACACACAGAGACACACGTAGACACACGTAGACACACAGAGACACACGTAGACACAGAGACAGAGACACACAGACACACAGAGACACACAGACACAGAGACACAGAGACACACGTAGACACACGTAGACACACAGAGACACACAGAGACACACAGGTACTACACACAGACACAGAGACACAGACACACAGGTACTGCACAGAGACACACAGAGACACACAGAGACAGAGACACACAGAGACACACGTAGACACGTAGACACACGTAGACACACACGTAGACACAGAGACAGAGGAGACACACAGAGACAGAGACACACGTAGACACACGTAGACACACGTAGACACACGTAGACACAGACACAGAGACACACAGACACACACACAGAGACACACGTAGACACACGTAGACACACAGAGACACACAGAGACACACAGAGACAGAGACACACAGAGACACACAGAGACACACAGAGACACAGAGACACACGTAGACACAGAGACACACAGAGACACACAGAGACACACAGAGACAGAGATGCACGTAGACACACAGAGACAGAGACACACGTAGACACACGTAGACACAGAGACACACACGTAGACACAGAGACACAGAGACAGAGACACACAGAGAAACAGAGACACACAGAGACAGAGACACAGAGACACACAGAGACAGAGACACACAGAGACACAGAGACACACAGAGACAGAGACACACGTAGACACAGAGACACAGACACAGAGACACAGAGACACACGTAGACACGTAGACACAGAGACACACGTAGACACAGAGACACAGAGACACACGTAGACACAGAGACACAGAGACACACGTAGACACGTAGACACAGAGACACACGTAGACACACAGAGACACACGTAGACACAGAGACAGAGACACACAGACACACAGAGACACACAGACACAGAGACACAGAGACACACAGACACACAGACACAGAGACACACAGAGACAGAGACACACGTAGACACACGTAGACACACGTAGACACAGAGACACACAGAGACACACAGAGACAGAGACACACAGAGACACACGTAGACACGTAGACACAGAGACACACGTAGACACACGTAGACACACGTAGACACACGTAGACACAGAGACACACGTAGACACAGAGACACAGAGACACACGTAGACACAGAGACACAGAGACACACGTAGACACAGAGACACACACGTAGACACAGAGACAGAGACACACAGAGACACACGTAGACACAGAGACACACACGTAGACACAGAGACACAGAGACACACAGAGACACACAGAGACACAGAGACACACGTAGACACACGTAGACACACGTAGACACACGTAGACACAGACACAGAGACACACAGACACACACACAGAGACACACGTAGACACACGTAGACACACAGAGACACACGTAGACACAGAGACAGAGACACACAGACACACAGAGACACACAGACACAGAGACACAGAGACACACGTAGACACACGTAGACACACGTAGACACACAGAGACACACAGGTACTACACACAGACACAGAGACACAGACACACAGGTACTGCACAGAGACACACAGAGACACACAGAGACAGAGACACACAGAGACACACGTAGACACGTAGACACACGTAGACACACACGTAGACACAGAGACAGAGGAGACACACAGAGACAGAGACACACGTAGACACACGTAGACACACGTAGACACATGTAGACACACGGAGACACAGACACAGAGACACAGAGACACACACAGAGACACAGAGACAGAGACACACACGTAGACACGTAGACACACAGAGACACACGTAGACACAGAGACACACGTAGACTCTGTACGTGGCTTCTAGCTCACCACGTGAGACCTCCCCCCTCATGAATATTCATTCGTGCCACCCTCATGCTAATTAACGAGGGTGGGCGTGTCTCCCTATGCTAATTACTCGCCCCGCCCCCCTGCCAGGGCTGGGTCTCCGTGGCGACGGGCGGCTGGAACCGGTTCTGGTCTCGGTGCTGCCCTCGCGGAGGTCCCTTGACTACTGTCGCCACGGCAACGACGGCGGCGACAAGGCCCCCGGCAACGGCCGTGGCCGTTGCCGCGGCAACAACGGCGCCCGTGGCAACAGGGGCGGGGGGGGCAGTGGCCGTGGCAACGGAGGGGGGGGCGGTGGCCGTGGCAACGGAGGGGGGGGGCGGTAACCGTGGCAACGGAGGGGGTGGGGGTCAGGGGGGGGCGGGCGACGTCTTTGACTTCCTGAACCAAGCCCTGAACCCCACCCACCGCTCCTCACCCTCACCAGGTGAGTGGTGGGTGGGTGGGTGAGTGGGTGGGTGAGTGAGTGAGTGGGTGGGTGGTGAGTGAGTGAGTGGGTGGGTGGTGAGTGAGTGGGTGGGTGAGTGGGTGAGTGGGTGGGTGGGTGGGTGAGTGAGTGAGTGGGTGAGTGAGTGAGTGGGTGAGTGAGTGGGTGGGTGGTGAGTGAGTGAGTGGGTGAGTGAGTCAGTGGGTGGGTGGTGAGTGAGTGAGTGGGTGGTGAGTGAGTGGGTGGTGAATGAGTGGGTGGGTGAGTGAATGAATGAGTAAGTGAGTGAGTGGGTGGGTGGGTGGGTGAGTGGGTGGGTGAGTGAGTGGGTGAGTGGGTGGGTGAGTGAATGAATGAGTAAGTGAGTGAGTGGGTGGGTGAGTGGGTGGGTGGGTGGGTGAGTGGGTGGGTGAGTGAGTGGGTGAGTGGGTGGGTGAGTGAATGAATGAGTAAGTGAGTGAGTGGGTGGGTGAGTGAGTGGGTGGGTGAGTGGGTGGGTGGGTGGGTGAGTGAGTGGGTGAGTGGGTGGGTGAGTGAATGAATGAGTGAGTGAGTGGGTGGGTGAGTGGGTGGGTGGGTGGGTGAGTGAGTGGGTGGGTGAGTGAATGAATGAGTAAGTGAGTGAGTGGATGGGTGAGTGAGTGAGTGGGTGAGTGGGTGAGTGAGTGGGTGGGTGAGTGGGTGGGTGGGTGAGTGAGTGAGTGGGTAAGTGAGTGGGTGAGTGAGTGGGTGGGTGGTGAGTGAGTGAGTGAGTGGGTGAGTGAGTCAGTGGGTGGGTGGTGAGTGAGTGGGTGGGTGGTGAGTGAGTGGGTGGGTGAGTGAGTGGGTGAGTGGGTGAGTGGGTGAGTGAGTGGGTGAGTGGGTGAGTGAGTGAGTGAGTGGGTGATTGAGTGGGTGGTGAATGAGTGGGTGGGTGAGTGAATGAATGAGTAAGTGAGTGAGTGGGTGGGTGAGTGGGTGGGTGGGTGGGTGAGTGAATGAATGAGTAAGTGAGTGAGTGGGTGGGTGAGTGGGTGGGTGGGTGGGTGAGTGAGTGGGTGAGTGGGTGGGTGAGTGAATGAATGAGTAAGTGAGTGGGTGGGTGGGTGAGTGGGTGGGTGGGTGGGTGAGTGAGTGGGTGGGTGAGTGGGTGGGTGAGTGGGTGGGTGAGTGAATGAATGAGTAAGTGAGTGAGTGGGTGGGTGAGTGGGTGGGTGGGTGAGTGAGTGAGTGGGTGGGTGAGTGAATGAATAAGTGAGTGGGTGGGTGAGTGAGTGAGTGGGTGAGTGGGTGAGTGAGTGGGTGGGTGAGTGGGTGGGTGGGTGAGTGAGTGAGTGAGTGGGTGAGTGAGTGAGTGGGTGGGTGAGTGAGTGGGTGGGTGAGTGAGTGAGTGAGTGGGTGGGTGAGTGAGTGGGTGGGTGAGTGAGTGAGTGAGTGGGTGAGTGAGTGGGTGGGTGAGTGGGTGAGTGGTGGGTGGGTGAGTGGGTGGGTGGGTGAGTGGGTGAGTGAGTGGGTGGGTGAGTGGGTGAGTGAGTGGGTGGGTGAGTGGGTGAGTGGGTGAGTGGGTGGGTGGTGGGTGAGTGAGTGAGTGGGTGGGTGAGTGAGTGAGTGAGTGGGTGAGTGAGTGGGTGGGTGAGTGGGTGAGTGGTGGGTGGGTGAGTGGGTGGGTGGGTGAGTGGGTGAGTGAGTGGGTGGGTGAGTGGGTGAGTGGGTGAGTGGGTGGGTGGTGGGTGAGTGAGTGAGTGAGTGGGTGAGTGAGTGAGTGAGTGGTGAGTGAGTGAGTGTGGGTCTCTGTAGGTGAGCGTACAGTCCGCACTGTGGGTGTGGAGCTGGTGAGGATCGGTGAGGAGGCGGGGAGAGCTGAGAGAGAAGTCGCCCAACTCACCAGACAGATGCAGCGCCACGCTGGGTGACTCACCACTCACTCACCCACTCACTCACTCACCACTCACTCACCACTCACCCACCCACTCACCCACTCACTCACTCACTCACCACTCACTCACCCACTCACCCACTCACTCACCACTCACCCACCCACTCACTCACCCACTCACCCACTCACTCACTCACTCACCACTCACTCACCCACTCACCACTCACTCACCCACTCACCCACTCACTCACCACTCACCCACCCACTCACTCACTCACCCACCCACCCACTCACCCACTCACCCACCCACTCACTCACTCAATCACCCACTCACTAACTCACCCACCCACTCACCCACTCACCCACCCACTCACCCACTCACCCACCCACTCACCCACCCACTCACCCACTCACTCACCCACTCACCCACCCACTCACCCACCCACCCACACACTCACCCACCCACTCACCCACCCACCCACCCACTCACCCACCCACGCACTCACCCACTCACTCACCCACCCACCCACTCACCCACCCACCCACTCACCCACCCACTCACCCACCCACTCACCCACCCACTCACCCACTCACCCACCCACTCACCCACCCACCCACTCACTCACCCACCCACTCACCCACCCACCCACCCACTCACCCACCCACGCACTCACCCACTCACTCACCCACCCACCCACCCACCCACCCACCCACTCACCCACCCACCCCCCCACTCACTCACTCACCCACTCACTCACCACTCAGCCACCCACTCACCCACCCACCCACTCACCCACCCACCCACTCACCCACCCACCCACCCACTCACCCACCCACCCACCCACTCACCCACCCACCCACCCACTCACCCACCCCCTCACCCACTCACCCACCCCCTCACCCACTCACCCACCCACTCAATCACCCACTCACCCACTCAATCACCCACTCACTCACCCACCCACCCACCCACTCACCCACTCACCCACCCACCCACTCACCCACCCACTCACCCACTCACCCACCCACTCACTCACCCACCCACCCACTCACCCACCCACCCACTCACCCACTCACCCACTCACTCACCCACCCACTCACTCACCCACCCACCCACTCACCCACCCACCCACTCACCCACTCACTCACCCACTCACTCACCCACCCACCCACTCACTCACTCACCCACTCACCCACTCACCCACCCACTCACTCAATCACCCACTCACTAACTCACCCACCCACTCACCCACCCACTCACCCACCCACTCACCCACCCACTCACCCACTCACCCACCCACTCACCCACCCACCCACTCACCCACCCACTCACCCACCCACCCACCCACCCACCCACCCACCCACCCACCCACCCACCCACCCACCCACCCACCCACTCACCCACTCACCCACCCACTCACCCACCCACTCACCCACCCACCCACTCACCCACCCACCCACTCACCCACTCACTCACTCACCCACCCACCCACTCACCCACCCACTCACCCACTCACTCACCACTCACCCACCCACTCACCCACTCACTCACCACTCACCCACCCACTCACCCACTCACTCACTCACTCACCACTCACTCACCCACTCACCCACTCACCCACTCACTCACCACTCACCCACCCACTCACTCACTCACTCACCACTCACTCACCCACTCACCACTCACTCACCCACTCACCCACTCACTCACCACTCACCCACCCACTCACTCACTCACCCACCCACCCACTCACCCACTCACCCACCCACTCACTCACTCAATCACCCACTCACTAACTCACCCACCCACTCACCCACTCACCCACCCACTCACCCACCCACTCACCCACCCACTCACCCACGCACCCACCCACTCACCCACCCACCCACTCACTCACCCACTCACTCACACACTCACCCACCCACTCACCCACCCACGCACTCACCCACTCACTCACCCACCCACCCACTCACCCACCCACCCACTCACCCACCCACCCACCCACTCACTCACTCACCCACTCACTCACCACTCAGCCACCCACTCACTCACCCACCCACCCACTCACCCACCCACCCACTCACCCACCCCCCCACCCACTCACCCACCCACCCACTCACCCACCACCCACTCACCCACCCACTCACCCACCCACCCACCCACTCAATCACCCACTCACCCACTCACCCACTCACCCACTCACTCACCCACCCACCCACTCACCCACCCACCCACTCACCCACCCACCCACTCACCCACTCACTCACCCACTCACTCACCCACCCACCCACTCACTCACTCACCCACTCACCCACTCACCCACCCACTCACTCAATCACCCACTCACTAACTCACCCACCCACTCACCCACCCACTCACCCACCCACTCACCCACCCACTCACCCACTCACTCACCCACCCACTCACCCACCCACCCACCCACTCACCCACCCACCCACTCACCCACCCACTCACCCACCCACTCACCCACTCACCCACCCACTCACCCACCCACTCACCCACCCACTCACCCACCCACTCACCCACCCACTCACCCACCCACTCACCCACCCACTCACCCACCCACTCACCCACCCACCCACTCACCCACCCACCCACTCACCCACTCACTCACTCACCCACCCACCCACTCACCCACCCACTCACCCACTCACCCACCCACTCACTCACTCACTCACCCACTCACTCACCACTCAGCCACCCACTCACTCACCCACCCACTCACCCACCCACCCATTCACCCACCCACCCACTCACCCACCCACCCACTCACTCACCCACCCACCCACCCACTCACCCACCCACCCACTCACCCACCCACCCACTCACCCACCCACCCACTCACCCACCCACCCACCCACTCACCCACCCACCCACCCACTCACCCACTCACCCACCCACTCACTCACCCACTCACCCACCCACTCACCCACTCACCCACCCACTCACTCACCCACCCACCCACTCACCCACCCACCCACTCACCCACTCACCCACTCACCCACCCACTCACCCACTCACTCACCACTCACCCACCCACTCACCCACCCACCCACTCACCCACCCACTGACCTCTTTGACCCCTCCCCCCCCGTGACCCCGTGACCCCACCAGGGAGAAGGTCACCAACTCCCATCTGGAGGCCCGGCTGAGTGTTGCTCGCTCCCGATTGGCCGAGCTGAGGTCACGTGAGGCGAGTCTCATCCAGCAGCGGAGAAGTCAGCGAGACCTGCACAAGATGATCGCCTTCTAAGGGGCGGCGAGACGCGGGGGATTACTTTTGTAATCCTCGGGGTCACTTGTGAGACGTGGGGATTACTTTTGTAATCCCTGGTCACGTACGCGATGCGGTGGGATTACCTTTCATCCAGCAGCGGAGAAGTCAGCGAGACCTGCACAAGATGATCGCCTTCTAAGGGGCGGCGGTGAGACGCGGGGGATTACTTTT